CATTTAGAGTGGCCAAATTTGTGTAATTTAATTTGAGCCTTTTGCTTATATTTTAATATCTTTATCATCGCTTCCTTGGTTATATATTACGTATACAATACCTATTTTGGTATTTGTTTTTATCCTTATTATCTTAATAAAGGATTACAAAGTAGATAACATTGTTAGATCCACTTAAAGTCCAGCAGAGTTTGCAAGAAATATACAACCACCAGAAGTGATTATGTTTCGTATATCTCATTGTAACTAAATTTTGTTAACCACCAGAAGTGGTATATGCGTATGACCACCAGAAGTGATAATTTAGGCTTTTTATGGTTACAATTAAAGATAAGCTAGAGAAATATTCTCTATATTACATGCACGCCTCGATTTGCTCATGAAGTAGTAAATATTTTAAAAGAGGTTGAAGTATCACAATTTGATGTGATTAATGCGTATTCAGATAATTATGTTCGATTTCCTGAAGGATGAGAATTTTTTATAAATATTAATCCATTCCCTGAAGTGAATGTGATAATATTAATAAAGTTGTAAATATGAACGTGCTCTTGATGTAAATATATTACAATTCACCTCCAGAAGAGTTAATATGATCGAGAGAATATATACTCAATATTTCGTATTTTAAATTTGCTCCTGAAGAAGTAACACAATTAAAATTTTCTCTTGAAATAGAAAAATATTTTGAAGCAGTGTCTTTCTGTGCTTAAACAAAATAATGAGCTATTCAAGGTTATTTTTGAAGCACATTTTCATTCCCTGGAGTGAATGAAGAAATACCACAACTCACCTTCTGAAGAGGTAGAATAATAGAGGATATAAATATTATTTTTGTAGCATAAAGATCATTGCCACACGTACCTGTTGTACGTAAAACATCTTTGATATATTGTGATTAGTTGTTATTAACTACCCCGAAGAAAATAACAACTCATGTAATGACTATGTGGTTGTCGCTTTAATATAAAATATTCATATGTTAATGGCGGTTCTCCTTGAAGGAGATATTTGTCACAAAATTGGTGGTAAAAATATTAAAATTCTTGATTTCTGACATTTATTAATTTAGAATTGTCTTTATATTATTTATTTGATTATGATTTTCTCTCGTGATACCAGAAGTGTCTGAGCAATATTTGATTACAAAATGTATCAAAAATTCCTGAAGAACTAACTGTTTGTCTAGAAGACACGTGACACCAGTAATGTCCGAATAATATTAGATTGTGGATAATAAATGAAGGCTCTCGAAAAGCTTATATACAAATATGTCATTCATATTATATGATTATGGTCAAAACATATGTTGTAGTAAACTTGAAGTTTACTGATACAAATGACTATCATATTGAGACCACAAATGATTGGAAGATTGAAAATCTTCATGTTTCCACAATCATAGGGTGTAAAATAATATATATGTGAGAAGCTACCGGCCTTATTCTTTAATTTGTACTACATCATGTTTCACAGTAAACCAGAAGTTTATTAATGCAAAAGCAGTCACAGTAAACCAGAAGTTTTACTGAGGCAAAAGTAGCTACTGTAAACCAGAAATTTACTGATATGAAAGTAGCCACAATAAATCAGAAGTTTATTGATGCAAAAGTTTATGCCATAGTAAACCAGAATTTTACTTAAAGTTAGCACATGCCATGATAAACTTGAAGTTTTCATTTGCCATTTTTAAATGAGCTATTTGAGAATTCAGATAAGCATATACTGAAAAACTAGAAGATTTTTCAAGAATTCTCTTGTGTTGCTTGTTCTCATAATAAATTGATTATACCATCTAAAGTTGGGACTAAAACCCCTCAATTCTGGAATATATAAAAGGTGAATATGGACCCATTCACCTATCATGTGAACCACTTATAGATGCATATATGATATGGTTAGATGCGTGTTTATTGTCAACCTGCAGTTTGGCATTTGAAATTGTCTTTCTCAATTAAGAGCATAATTTTCAGATTATAAAATCAAGATAGTTTATCTTGATGATGCTCGTTTATATCCAAGGTAGTTTAGCATTGAATACCTCCTATTAATGGCTAAACTATTGCTTATGAGAACAAAGCCCCATGTGTTGGTCTATGATTTTCTAAATTGCATACAACAATACTTGTATGCATCATACCAACAAAATATGATAAGTCCTCCCCTCACAATTAGTTTAGGATCAGAAATCAAGTATTTTTACTATCTAATAACTTTTGATGTGTGGTATATGATTAATTTCTCTACCACAATGTACAAAGACAGGTTTCCTAAAGAAGATTGGGGATATGAGTTAGTTTTTTTAATATTTGTGGGATGGAATAAGTAGCTGAAAAATATGCTATATGAATCGAATTATCATTAATATGATCCTCACTTAGAACATAATTCAAGTCAAATGCAGAAGCATTTGCTGATCCAAAATTAAATATCATATTTCAGCTGCAAATGCTCCTATTAAAATTAAAGTCCCTCAAGGATAAAGTTTATTGCACGCATGAAGCGTAGTAAACTGATCGGTTCCAAAGGCAACAATCATTGGAAATGATAGGAGCAATTGATCAAAATGATCATAATGAGCTCTAGAAGAGCCCATGACATAACATTTCATGAAACTCCAGAAGAAGTTCATGTACCTGAAAATAAAGAAAGTGATGAGATCTCAACAAGTTATGTCACTTGTAAACCTATACAAAATGATCATCGACGATATATTTGATACAATATAGTGCACAATATTATAAAAGATTATGAGGATCAGACCTGTAGTCCAGACACCTGAAGATGTTATGCCATTTAGATGCAAGCCATAACATGTATGACTCATTTGATCAAATTTATATAAATATCCCTGAAGGATTTAAAATGCTAGAAGCATATAATTCAAAGTCTCAAAAAATATACTCAATTAGATTACAAAAATCTTTGTATGATTTAAAACAATCAGGGCGCATGTGGTATAATCGTTTCACTAAATTGATGAATGAAGGTTATATAAATGATGGCATTTGTCCATGCGTTTTTACAAAGAAAATAACATCAGAGGTGGTAATACTTACTGTATATGTTAATGACATAAATCTCATAGGAACTCCAGAAGAGCTCCAAAGGGAAAAACTTTGTCTTAGTCTGTAAGTTGAATATTTAGCAGAAATGATCTTTATCCATCAATCTGTCTATACAGAAAAGGTCTTAAAACGCTTTTACATGGACAAAGTGCGCCCATTAAGTACACTAAATGGGTGTTCGACCACTTGAAGTGAATAAGGATCCGTCCTGACCTCCAGAAGAGGATGAGGAACTCCTTGGTCCTGAAATACTCTATCTTAGTGCAATTGGTGCACTTATGTGTCTTGCTAATGCTAACAAAAGTAAAACAGATCATATTGGTTATGCAGATGCAGGTTATTTATCTGATCCCCATAAAACTCGATCTCAAATCGGGTATGTGTTTACATGTAGATGTACTGTCATATCATGGCGCTTTACAAAGTAATCTATTGTTGCTACTTCTTCAAATCATGCTGAGATAATAGATATTCATGAAGCAAGTAGGGAATGCGTATGGTTGAGATCAATGATTTATTTTATTCGAGAAAAATGTTTGTTGAAATGTGATAAAAACTCACAATATTATACGAACACAATGCTGCATGCATAGCCCAATTAAAGAGAGGATTTATAAAAGGAGATAGAACGATGCACATTTCACCAAAATTATTCTACACACATGATCTTCAGAAAAATGGTGATATCGATGTGCAACAAATCCGTTCAAGTGACAATCCAACAGATTTGTCCACTAAATCTTTGCCAATTTCAACTTTTGAGAAGATGATATACAAGATTGGAATGCGAAAACTTAAATATTTGGAACAAGGTTTTCATCAGGGGGAGTGAAATACACAATGTACTCTTTTTTCCTTACTAAAGTTTTTTCCATGGGATTTTTCTTGTAAGGTTTTTAATGAGGCATCTAGAATTGCGTATTACTAAATATGTGTACTCTTTTTCCTTCACTAGGATTTTTTCCATCGGGGTTTTTCCTAGTAAGATTTTAACGAGGCACAATATATTTTAATGAACATCCAAGGGGGAGTGTTATGAAAATAATTATAATGTGGATGTCCATTTATTACTCTGCTATAGATAATCTTCCTGAAAAAGATTATCCGTTTGGTACTCTATTGAAATTTATCTATTAGCAGCTGATGCAGGCAGGTTGCAAGTAACTCAATGAAATGATTTGCAACATCTTCTTATTAAACAGGCAGGTTGCAAGCAGCTCATGCAGACAACTTACAAGCAGCTCAAAAAAAGCTTCGCAACTGCTTCCTTTTCTTCTATAAATAAAGGAGATTTTAGTTCATTATGTACATGAGTTTGAAGTTGAATAATATACCAATCTCTCTCTATACTTGTCTTCGGTTTATTTACTTACAGTTTTTATTTTATAACAATCTCCTATTTTACTTTTTCTTCAAAATAGTGATAGCAGGGTGCATTTCGTTCTTATTCCTATAATTATCGAACTTTAAACTATCTCTATTCAAACACATAATTATTTATTTATAAAATTAATTTTACTATTTAAAACAATACTTTATATTTTTATCTACTACATCACTTAAGAGCCCGTTTTGATTGACTTAAAAAAAGTGTCGTTTCAGCAGAAATAACTTTTAAGCCAAAAAACAATAAGTTGGGGTTGCCTAACTTAATTGCTTTTAGTTTTTTTAAGCCGTTTTAAACTTATTTTATACTTTTTAACTTTGTCAAATACTAAAAAAAATTAAAAAACTTAAAAGCTGATTTAACCGAACTTAAAAACCAATCTAAACATCTCGTGAATCAAAGACAAACTCAAATAGAAAGAACAAAAAAAAGGGGTAATGGAGTATGTGTTCGTAGAATAGAGGGTTAAAAGTTTTGTAATTAAAACTTTAGGTGTACTTTTTTTATTTTCACATTTTATTTCCATATACCCTGTGTATCATCTCTTCAGTCTCCCGTCTCCTACAACTCTCAAACTTAAATACTTTCAGAGACCTCGCCGCGCCTTTGGCGGCTGTAAGAAATCGCCGGTGATTCCCCCGTCCACTGCCTTGCCGCCTCTCTCCCATATTCTCGTTGAGTGGAGTGCTCAAGTCTTCTTTTTCTTCTACTTCTACAGTTCTCGGTAAAGTTTCTGGTTAATGTTTAACTTTGTTCCTATGGTAAAGTTTCTGCCTTTTTTCTATTTCTTTTTAGAATAATTTTTTCCTAATTTGGAATCCAGATTTCTAAGAGAGGAAGATGGGAGCCAAGGACTTGCAGAAGGAGCTAAAGAAAAAGAAGAACAAAGATGCGGAATCCCTGACTATAAACTCTAACCTTGTTCAAAATGGTATTATTACCAAAGTTTCTCTCTTTCTCTTTCTTCCAACTAATAAACCCCAAGTAGCAACAAAGTCACATTTTGAGTTTGAATCTCAGTGCACTGCTAACCTATTGGGCTTACCTATGTGTTATAAATATAATAGTGAACAATTGAAACATATTCAACCTAATCTGTGGAAAAAAAAGAATCTTTTTTATAGTTTGTTGAGAAGTAGTATTACATTCGAAGCTGTTTTCTCAGGGTTTCGAGCTGCCTCTGAATTTGTTTTACTACTGCTGCTTGGGTTCCTAATAGGTTGAACAGTATGGTCTTTAATTGATCTTCATCTTCTTGTTTATGTCGAAAGCATAATTCAATTGCTTCTGATTTTTCATAGCAACATTTCAAACTGACTAATAAACTCAGTATCTCTAATAATCAGCAACTACCACCCCATCTTAAATCCCTGTCATTCAGGAACCTGCAAATTGTCAAGTGCTGTAATTAGATACTATATTATATCTGAGCGAGGAGTTGAGAAGACTGAGTTTAGTAGACTTTCCTCGACAGCACTATTATACTATAATTGGATTTTTGCTCCTTCTCCACTATTTGCATTGGCAAGCAGTCACTTCTGCTCGTTGCATACAACACTTCAAGTTTCAAGTAATTATAGATGGAAGAATCATCACAATATACTCCACAAATTAGTAATCTCAATGAACTAGGAAAGGTTTTCTTTAACATTTCAAATTAATTATGACTTATGAGCCTATCCACTTGCTCACACTCAGTTTCAGGATTAGTATTGAGCTTCCTCATTCTATTATAATTGAGCTGTGCAACATTTCTTTTCCTACTCATTAGCATAGTAGTATTAGGTTCCACATGCAACAGCAAACTTGAAATCCTAATTCCCTGGAAATTTCCAGGAATGCTGGTTATTAGCCATAAACAGACTTTTCCACTTAGATACTAGATTCTGTGGCAAGATTCAAACCGGTGATGTGTGCCACCCATCATTGTTGTGCTCTTACCACTATACTAAATCCCTGGGGCATTGCCATGAGGTTTATCTTGTTTGCTTTTATTCAGTTTTCCATATTGAGGTCTTGTCTTATGAAGAAACTCTGGGAGGTTCAGTTGCAATATGGCTCTATCTCCTCTAGAGGGGGCTTTTCTTTTCCTCTTAGGAATATTGCAGGTGGATGAAAGTCCCAATATATTTTTTCTGGGCTCACCACTCACTTGTGTATGAAGCAAATGTCTTCTATGCACTAGTATCAGCACTCTTCATAGATGCCCTGAAAAAGGACAGTAATTATAGATATGGGGTTCAACATTATCTATAGTGTCTCGATGAGCCAAGATGTTGTAGTAAAGAGCCCAAAGATTAGTTGAACTAGAAACAAAGTTTTTTCTTATAGGATCTTTTGGATTTCTTCACTCATTTCCTTGTTTATTCATCATCTTTTTCTATGTTTAGTATTTACTTGACAACAATGCTGATTTATGCCCTTTTGTTGTAGAGGAAAATTTTGCTAAGGTAACAGAAGAAAAGAATAGGAAGAAGAAGAAACTGACACTGCAAAACAGAAGAAGCAAGGATGAAATAGATGAATGCCATCTATCATATGATAAAGGTAGTGGTCTGGAAAATTTAATTAATATTTTATTTCGGAGCATAAATTGCTGGGATTGGCCTGTATGATTATTGAGGTTTTTAGAAGATGATTTAGATAATGCAGATGGGGAAAAGAAAAAGAGCAAATCATCAAAGCAGAAAAAGAGGAAAAATGACACACTTGCTGAAAGTGGTGTAGTTGATCAATCTAATAACGTAGAGGATGGACTTGGTCAAGAAAATACCTTATCGAGTGAACCTGATAAGCCGGAGAAAAGAAAATCGAAGGGAAAGAAGAGAAAAAGCGAAAAGAAAGCTGGGAAAACTGAGGGTAATGATTTCTCAAAACGACAAAAAGGTATGGAGAAAATAGATTCTCGAGTTTTCATATTTCTGTTTCTTTATTTATTAATCATGTACGTCAAATTTAAAACAAGTGAGGAACTAAACGATGTTGAGTAATTAGTGTAAGTAAATAAACTTTCTCTCAAGCAGGCGGTGTGTATCACTTGCTGGCATGCCTTAGTGTCTAAATATGTTAGCATCTAAACAATCGAAAAGTTTCACATGTTGAACATAATGAAGTGAAGTCCTTTACCTGATCAAAGAACAAGAGAAAGAAGTGAAGTTTGATTGTTCTTCCCAAAAATACATTTTTTTCAAGGAAACAATAACAGTTTTGTACTTTCCTAGGAGTCTATTAAAATATTTAAAAGCTTATGAGTATTGCATTAGAAACACTTAGCACTTTTAAACCATATGGTTTGACGGAGAGAGCACTCCAAATGCTGGAAGATAGTGAAATATAACTTATATCAATTGAAATGAATTACACTTGCTTCAGTTATATGCAACCTACTTATTGTACAAGTATGTGAGGTTATAAATTCATAATTATACCCAACAACCATCACACGCTTTAATTTATTGGCAATCTTTTGATGTTATTCATCAAACAAAATATTTGATGTTGATGATTTATAACTTCTGCAAGACTGTCTATCTCCCCTAGGCAAGTCAAAAGAGCCCCACAAAATTGTTGAGAAGGATCGTCCATCTTCAATAGCTGAGGATGATTTGTCTGAGAAGACAGAACAAGCTGAAGATGAAGAGATTTATGAGCTATCTTCAGGGGATGAGGATTACTCTAAAGGAGTGAGAAGTATGAATTTCTCTTTATATCATATAAAAGTAATTCCTGTTGCTTCTGTTGTTATGTTCGTTGTGATTTGACATGAGATTTGCCTCATCAAATATGTTATGGAGAAACTCATTCAAATCTTTCACGGCAAATTAGAAGTTCTTGCTGTTGTATATTTCTTTTTCTTTTTTGAAAAATTATGGACACATGCCTAGTTTTATTTAAGTTAGGAGTTATTTTTCTCGGCATCTTGCTATATGAAAAAATGATTCTTTTGAGATGAACTGCAGCAAGAAATGACATTATATTAGAAAAAAGTATGAATTAGATTGATTGCCTTATAAAGAGTCAATTTCCTTTTTCTGGGTGCAGAGTGGGTTACAGATTATTATCAGAGTAGGCCAGGGATAAAGGTGTTGCAAGAAAGGATTGATGAGTTTATAACTGATCATGAGGCGAAAAAAGAACAGGTACTCTATATTTCCAGATTATCATGCCATTTGTTGCTGTTAATGATTTTTTCGAAGTATAGGGAGAATGCTCGTATTTTCATGAGCTGTCATATCCATAGTGGAAAAAGTTTTTATGGTATTTATAGCTTTTTTTCATTTAAAAGAAAATGCTGGACTGAGTCTTTAAAGAGTTTTGCACTTATCTTTTGGCCCTTTCTTGCATCAGCCTGTACTGATGAATTTGTTTCTTGTGACCACCTCATAATGACATGTCATAGAAGTTTATTCATATGCCCACAACTAATCATGTTCTTATATTCTAATGGTTGTATATGCTGATTTGCCCACGACTAATTATGTTTTTGTTCCCATTGTCATATTTTTTATTCTGATACATACAGGAAAGGAAAGAAAAAGAAGCCCGTGCTGCTGAAGGTGGATGGACCGTTGTTGTACACCACAAAGGCAGGAAGAAGACAACGGATTCTGAAACTGGAATTGCAGTTGGTTCTGTTTCTCAGACTGCTGTTATGGATAATATGGCCAAAAAGAAAAAGAATGATGTGGGATTAGATTTCTACCGGTTTCAGAAGAGAGAAGCAAAAAGAAATGGTATGTTTACTGCATCTTTGCTTTTGTCAACAACTTCTTGCTCCATATTGTTCAAAATTGACTTTGTTTTCCTCGATTATCCTATAGAAAAATATTTTATAAAAGGTAAAAGTTTAAATCAAAAGTTTGATGTTATCCAAACAATCACATTTAAGTTTGAGGTGAAAAAGTATTTACATTTTCTGATGAAAAGGTTGTGGTTTCTAAGCTTGAATTGAAGATGCATATTGCCTGGGGTTGTACTGCCCGTCCATTGCTTCATTACATTCTCAAAAGAAAAAAAAATTATTAGGATGATTGAAAAGCAGCATTGTTTTGATAAATTGATGCAGAATTGGTTTAGCAGTTTCTGTCTTTCGTGACAGATAGTGAAAGAGCCTGAAATAATCTACAGCATTGAATTTTACCTCTTGAAAACCACCTCAAATAGTATCACAATTTTGCTTGTTCAAGATTTAAACCCTCTTTATCGTGGAACTACTAGTTGTTTTCCCTTTATCATGGAATTATGGATCATCTTTCATTCACATAAAAATTGGACTGGTTAAGTTGCCTATGTTTTCTGGTCTCACTGCCTATTGATTCTTTCTATTGTTCTATTTGCAGTTTGTCATTTTTCCCGTCAAGGGCTCTGTAGGATTCCCTGTTCAACTTTGATTTTTATATCGAACCTAAGTCATACAAAGTAAATCTGATCTGATACATCGTCCTAGTAATAATGATTGTTTCTTGACCCATCCATTCATCTGAAGGACCTGCTATAATTTGAAACTTGCTATGTTACTCTAATGTACTTCTCATTTGTTTAGTTGCCAATTTCCCCTGGTGCAAGAGATTAAAATCTCAATATGATTTTTTTCCTGTTTCTTTTGTTTGTGACTTATCATTGTTCACATTTGTATTATGCACAGAGATCATGGTGCTGCAGAGCAAATTTGAGCAGGATAAGAAGCGGATACAGCAGTTGAGGGCTGCAAGAAAATTTCGACCTTACTGAACCAAGAGAAATCTCCAGAACAGCGTTGTTATAAGATAACGCAAAATACTTAATGGAGAATGGGTTTCAAAATTGTTCAGTTCATTCTGTTTGTTTAGAGAGAACAAGCTTAACTAACAGCACAAGATAGTTGATAAAGTTGTGACATGAGTATAGATGAGCTATTGTTCTTGTATGTAGTTTCCAGTTTTGGTTGTAGTTGGTGGATGCCCAACTGTTTTTGCTGAAGCTTATGCTTCATGTTTCTTGTGGTAGGCATTTCACTAAAAGCTCAGCCTAGAGTTGATCAGCTGATTTACTTTAAATATTTTCTAAGATTGGAGAAATAGAAAACAATTGTATCTTTTCTACCATAGCATGCTCTCTCGTCTCTTCTATTTATCTTTATTACATAGACTTCCTTTTGAGCCCGTGACTTTTGCTAAGTTTTGTCAACAACTGGGAGGTTCTAGCTGTTAACAATTTGGTGGCAGAAGTTTTCTTTACCATTAAAATGGTTCTAAGTTGGCCATCTCACTTTCCTTTTTCAGGTACTTCTCTGTTTATACTTGGAAAATTCGTTAATGAACTGGCTTTCGACAGGGGAAAATTTAAATACTGAAGTGAAAATTAATCCTGCTTCTTTTCCTTTGGACCTTATGTATTTGAAATTTTCTATTTTGGAAAAGTGAAATTCATTTTGATGAATTAAAAAGAACAGGTGGACATTCAAGAATCATTATAGACGTGGCAACTAATTGCTTACATACAATGGGAAACCTAATAATGCCAAATAGTGCAGCTAAGTTTAAAGATTAGAAAAAAGTTTTATTATAAAAGAAATGTACAATTATAGTAGTCTGATGTGCAGTTAATTCGAATAAGATTATTCAATGAGCCTTCAAATGCTATTACTCATAGTGTAGAAGATGAACGAATGAATTGGAAAATTTTCTGCGTCCTTTCTCATTTCTCTTTGTTTGTATTTATAAATGAAAAATGTAAATAGCTATACATGCGTCAACAATTTACTGGACTATAAAATAACAGAAAATAACTCCTATACAGTGACTCAGCTTGGTCATGTGCCCAAAGAATCCAATGTGTAATCTTTATCCTTTACAAATGGACGGTCCAGATTATTTACATGTGAATTTAATCCAATGGCATAAAAACCTCCATCTGTATTCTCTAGAAGACTTAAAGAGGAACATATACTCCCTTCTGTCTCTGACACAAACAAAACCTTAGAATCATTAGGTTGTAACACCATATTCTTCCTCTGTCTTTCACCATTTATGATTTCTTTAGAACATAAATAATCATTAATATTAACACCCCCTGAAGTTGGAGGGGAGCGAAGAAAGCCCCAACTTGCTAAGGATGAAATTATGTGAAGGCCCAGATAAGGGCTTTGTAAAGATATCTGCGATTTGAGCAGATGATGGAACAAAACTCAAAGAAATCAAGCCATAGAGGAATTGTTGCCGTACAAAATGGCAATCGAGCTCCACATATTTTGTTCGTTCGTGAAATACCGGATTCCGAGCGATATGGAGTGCTTCCTGACTATCAGAATGAACCGGGATATGGAGAGTCAGAGGAGCTGAAAGATCATTGAGGAGATGATCCAACCATGTTAACTCAGCAACAAGACGCCTCATTAAACGATATTCAACCTCTGCTGAAGATAGAGAAACAAAAGCTTGCTTTTTGGATTTTCAAGAAACGGGTGAGCCTCCAAGACCGATAATATAACCACTTATAGACCTTCGAGAATCAACACAAGACGCCCAATCAGCATCGGAGAAAAAAAGATGGATCAACAATCATGAAAAGCCCTTGACCAGGATCTTTATGAAGATATCGAATTACCCGAAGGGCTGGTGTAAAGTGTGGAAGTCGAGGAACTTGCATGAATTGAGACAAGTGTTGCACTGCAAAAGAGAGATCTGGGCGAGTATGAGTTAAATAGTTCAATTTGCCAACAATCCTGCGATAAGAAGAGGGGTCGGCAAGCAAATCCCCTGAATCGGCAGAAAGTTTGCAAGATGGATCCAAAGAAGATGAAACAGAGGGTAAATGACCACAGTTGTAATCAGAGATGAGATCAAGGGTGAATTTGCGTTGAGAAACAATTAGGCCATGTGATTCTCGAAGAACCTCCAAACCAAGAAAATAATGTAAGTCTCCAAGATCCTTAATATGAAATTCATCATTTAAGAATTGCTTAAGTTGAGAAAGCTTTGTAGGATTGTTGCCAGTAAATAGTATGTCATCAACATACACTGTCACAATAGATATAGAATCACCTGATTGTTTGAAAAATAGGAAATAATCATTCAAAGAAGAAGAAAACCCCTTAAAATTCAAAGCAGCTGTAAGTCGAGCATACCACTGTCACGATGCTTGTCGCAAACCGTAAAGTGATTTCTTAAGACGACAGACATGGTTAGGACTAGGAGCAGGTATACCGGCAGAAAATTTCATATATACTTCTTCTTGTAAAATCCCATGTAAAAAGGCATTATTCACATCTAATTGTGACAATGACCAGCCTTTCTTAATTGCACCATCAAGAATGCATCGAATAGTTGTCATTTTAACCACGAGAGAGTAGGTTTTAATAAAATCAATCCCTTCACGTTTAGCGTCACCTCTAATCACCAATCTAGCTTTCAATCTTTCGATGCTTCCATCAGATTTGTGTTTAACTTTGTAAACCCATTTGCAAGGCAAAGCCTTCTTGCCAATAGGTAATTCAACCACTTCCCACGTTTGATTATCCTCAAGAGCTTTGATCTAAGACGTCATAGCTTGCTGCCAATCAAGATGTTGGTAATGTCCCGTCCGGTCGTTTTGAGTATTATAACTTCGTTCCCCCATTTACTGCTCAATTTATGATTTATAGTTGTTTTATAACTTGTGTGCAAAATTTGAGGTCAATCAGACGTGATTTGACATATTCCAGAGTCATTTGTAGAAATTAAAAATTTCAAAGTTCAATATGCTTGAATTGGGGTGTAATTAATGGTTTTAGCGTTGTTGGAGGTGATTTGAGGATTCGACTAAGTTCGTATGATATTTTAGGACTTGTTAGTATATTTGGTTGAGGTCCCGAGGGCCTCGGGTGAGTTTCGGATGGTTAACGGATCAAAAATTGAACTACAACAGCTGCAACAATTTTCTTATGCTGGAAACTTCTTCTCCCAGATTCGAGCCCAAAAATCGAGCCCAGAATCAAGCGACGATCGAGCCCAGGGTCGACGGCCACGATCGAAGGCAGGGTAGAAGACCAGGGTCGAGGGCCAGGATCGAGGGCCAGAATTGAGGCCCAGGATCGAGACCCAGGATCGATGACCTCGATCGAAGGCCAAGATCGAGGCAGAACCGAGGATGTCTGGGCAGAATTATAAAACAAGGACTTCGTCCCATTCGCCATTTTTGACAAATTGGAGCTTGAGGAGAGGCGCTTTTTGATAGATTTTCAAGGAAAACTTGAGATAAGTCCTTTGCGATCATTTCTACTCCATAATATTAAATTATCATCGAATAATCCAACTAGATTACATGATTTTGAGGTGTAAATCGAATATTGGAACTTAGAAATTTGGAAATAAGATTTGTAGATTTGAAGGTCGAGTTGAAGTCGGATTTTGGTAAAATTGGTATGGGCAGACTCGTGGTTGGATGGGCCTTCGGATTTTGTAACTTTTGCCGAGTTCCGAGACGTGGGCCCCACGAACGATTTTTGAGCTAAAATTCGGATTTTTATGAAAAATTAGTATTTTCTTATGGAATTAAATCCAATGAATTTTATTGACTGAAATGAATTATTTAGGGCTAGATTCGAGGCGTTGGGAGGCCAATTCACGAGGAAAGGACATTGCAGAATAAGAATTTCACGGCTCGAGGTAAGTAACAGTTTTAAATTTGGTCCTGAGGGTATGAAACCCCAGAATTTTGTGTCATGTGAATATTTTGGAGGTGACACACATGCTAGGTGATGGGCGTGTGAGCGTGTACCGAGGGGATTATGACTTGGTCCGTCCCGTGGAAACTGTATAGTTGAATACTTTATTGTTAGTTATATGCTCTCTATGTGTTAAAGAAATTTGACTGTAAATCATGTTAGAAATCATGCTTAGGCTATGTTATAGTACTATTGGGACCCGCAGAGGTCGCCTACTTGTTGAATTATTTGCTAATTGCTGTCTTGTACTCAGTCATGATTTTTCTTGCGTATTATACCTCAGTCTTTTTTGATATTTGTTGATACACTATGTTATCTTTGTTTGGGCTGACCTTTATGATTTCAGAGAAGCCCGAGAGACTAGAGAGGTTAAGGACTGAGTACAGCCGAGGGCCTGTCGGTGAGGTAAGGATATTATGGTACGTGAGTTGTCCGCGCAGGATATTATAGCATATGAGCTGTCCGTGCAGATTATGGCGCTTGGGCTGTAGGAGCCCCTCCGGAGTCTGTACATCCCTAGTGAGCGCGGGTACCCATTGAGTGTGAGTGCTGAGGGCTGAGAGCCGAGTGGTTGAGTTGTTGTGATTATTTGAGTGACTTTTGCCTGAGAGGCTGTACTTGCTTTGCATTTATTGTTGCACCTGGTTGCTATCTGTCATTGTTGTGAAATCTCTGAAAGATTTTATATCCGGATTAAATGAAATTTAACTGTATAAAATTGATTTGACTTAAACTGCCGGATTTGAAAGCATGTCTATTCTTTGCTGGAATTACTGAAGGTGAACTATAACTGTGTAGCTCGTCATTATCTTGAGTTCCTTGATTATTATTGTTACTTGCTGAGTTGGTTGTACTCATACTACACCCTGCACTTCGTGTGCAGATCCAGGTGTTCCCGGACATAGCAGGTGTTGATCATTTCGCGCAGTTGATTTTCAGGAGATTTTGAGGTAGCTGCCATGTTCCGCAGACCTTGTCTCTCCTTCTCTATCTCCTTGTTTACTGTATTTGGTCTCAGACTGTTATAGATCGTATTTTACAGACTTGTAGTCATATTAGAGGCCGGGGTCGAGGTAGAGGTCGAGGTGTAGCTCGTACCACAGTTGGACCAGCACCTGTAGTACCACCAAATGCTCCAGCTCGGGAGCAGATTCCGGATATAGCTGAGCCGATAAGATCAGCTCAGGCACCAGCTTTGTCCATTGAGATTCCAGGCTTTCAGGAGACTTTGGCCCAGATATTGGCAGCCTGCACTGGTATTGCTTAGGTAGTTTCGGCTCAGGCCACACCTGCCACTTCTCAGGCCGGAGAGGTATTCATACCCCTGTTGCCCATACTCCAGACCAGGTAGTACAAGGACTTCATATATCGGGAGCACTACCAGCCCAGCCGGTTACAGCT